TCCCCCCCCCCTCCCTCTCCCCCTCTCCCTCTCTCTCCCCCCTCTCCTCCCGGGGGTGAGGTGCAGCTCCCCCGTGATGGGGTTGGGCCAGCGTGGTCGGGTCGGGGCCCGCGCCCTTGAACCCATGGAGGGGTTGCGACAACGTGGTGGCGGGGCCCGAATCTATTATCCCGCGACCCCTTTGAAAGGTTTGTATTCCGGCCAGGAGGGGCGGGCCGGGCCCGTCCGGTCTCTGTCTGCCCTAGACCCCCGCTGCCGTCGATCCCTTTGTGGGTGTCCGGGACTCGTCCGGGGCGTTCGGATGTTGTGCCGAACGGACGTGGCTGAGTGGGGCGGGCCGGGGTGGGACTGGGAGCGGGCGGGGCTGAGCAGGGCGGGCTGGCTGGCGCAGCCGGGCGCAGCCACTGCACACTACATCGGCAGGAGCCCGGCCCGGGCACCAGCCTCCATGACTTTGAAGGTCCACCTGAGACGTTTCGAGACGCCTCTTCCTCTTGTTTGATCTTCTGGACCGTGTTCAGTGTGCATCTTTAAGCACGGTACTTCTCAGTCCGAGCAGGTCCGGCTCGGCTCCTGTTGGGTCTCTCGCCAGTTCCCAACCCACAAAGCCAAAATGTCCAGGCGACCAAATTCAGAACCGACGAAAACTTAGCTCTGTGGATTAAATTTTGATCGTGCTGATTTAAAAAAATGAGTAAAATTCCCTCAGTTTTGATAGACTTCTAGATAGACCACTTTTAGTAAAAGAAAATGAAGGTACGACAGTGTAGTTGGTTTTGGGAACTAAATTTTGCTCTTCTTCTTCTTCTTCTTCTTGTGTTTCAATTTCGTTTTCGTGTTAAGGTGTGACATGCCTTTAACACGTGGGGCGCGAGTGTGTTGAGTTATGGCGCCGTCAAGAAAAGCGTCGGGAGGAGGGGGAGAGAGAGCGAGCAAAGAAACAATTTAAAAAATGATTGTCTCCGTCCGTCACCCCTCTGGCGCGAAATATTGAAAGTCTTGCCGCCGCAGTTTTGTTGTACAAAATTGCTCACACCGGGCGGGCGGCAACGGCGCTCTACGGAATAATTTACGTCTCGGCTCGCCGAGGGAGAATGCTGGACCCGGGGGAAGGGGGAGGGGTCGGCTCGCTAAGCCATTGTGAAGCCCGCACATGAGATAACAAGTCAGCAGTGAATGGAGCGGGGGGGGAAAAGGGAGGGACGATCCAAACGGCATTTTTCTCGCCCCCACCCCCTTCAACGAGATAAGAATTAAAATACTGTTTCGCGAGCAAAGCAGAAAGGAAAACACGCGCGCCCGCCGCGTGCCCATACTAAAATCTGATGAACGTTTTTATTCATTACAGCTTATGGATTTCTCTGTGTATGCTCTGCTTATACATTTCTTTTAATACTTAAGCACGACCAAATTTCTTCATGCACGAGTCACATCATTTGCGTGCATGAACCCCCTCCCTCCATTTCCCTACCCGTGTCGTCACTTCTAAACTAGCTATATGTACGCCAGACCACGTCTCGCGTAACAGGCTTCGCGATATCTCACGAAACACACTGTAAAAAATATTCTGAAATTTAAGACCAAAATGTATCTTAAATTTAATAACATTTTCAGTTGTTCTTAAACGTAAGAACAGATTATGATATTTAAGAAGTTTTCTTAATTTTGCAAACCAGTTTATGAAAATTCTGATAAGGGTAATGAAATTTTATAACAAGTTTATTAAATTTAAAAGATTTTCTTAGTTTTAAGAAGTGTTCTGAATGCTAGTATTAAAAGTAAGAATAAGTGTGACTTTTCAAAACAATTTAGTTAAAAGTCATGCAGCTTTTGACCACTGGACATAGAATTTTGGTGTTCAATATAGAATTGGATGAACATCATCAAATTAGATAAGCGAAATGTAGCTATGCCAGAGCGAAATGTGAAAAAAAACGAGTTAACAAACATACGCCGTCCGACCAAGCACATAGCTACTCTGGGAATGCCCCTGGACCGAGCGCCGCATAAGCTCGGGTGCGAGCGTTCCCTTCACAGGTATGTCCCGACAGCCGCGCGGTCTAAGGCGTCAGGATCCGAACCCAAAGGTCCGAGGTTCGAATCCACCCAGGTAAGTTCAGGTAAATAACTATAATGTGTACAAAGTCGGGTTTGAACATCTGTCCGTAGGAACAAGAACTAAATATTTTCCAGTTTTGCGTTAGGCTGGAACAGTAAGCATTTTTGTCGTTTCATAACACGTTCTTAATTTTCAAAACATGTTCTTAATTTTCATAAAACATTTGTTCTTAAATTTAAGAGCAAATTTGTTTTGTAAATTGCTTCCAAACACGTGTTCTTAAAATTAAGATGGATTTTTTTTACAGTGCACTGTTACGCTGCGACGCGCCTGGCGCACATATAGCTAGGCCTGCGGCGCTGACACCCAAGACAGGGTAACAGGAGTGTATATAAAATTTTTCGAAATGAAGTCTTTTTAACGATTTAATCGACCATTTGATCATTTTCCCCTCATTTTTGTCAAGAAATGCCCCCTAGCACCTAAACGGTTCAAGATAGAGCCAAACGGACGAAATTTTCGCCCATGGGGCTCTACTTTGATGGTTTACCCCTTAGGAACCCATAAAAAAATATTTGATAAATATACATTTTGCGACCTGTAGTTTGATTTTTTAAAAAGCCAATTTTTGAGCTAGAATGCTCATCTTCGAACTCGATCTGTCTTTTTATGATACAAAACGACCCTGAAATTCCCAAATCGCTATCTCAATTCCTTTGCGAGTTATCGTGCGGACAGACAGACAGACAAACAGACAGACAGACAGACAGACAGACAGACAAACAGAATGAAACTTTTCCGGTCAGTGGAGTAATGGGCTTCGCTAATCGCTCAGCCAACAAAAAATTGTCACAAAAAACACGTATGAAAAAAACAGGTTTTTTTTTCGTCACACATTTCTTTACCCCCCACCTCCACCCTCGAAAAAGCATTGATTTGCAAACAGATTGTTAAGAATTTGCAAGAGCTGAGCATGCACAGAGAAAATTAAAAAAGCTATAAATCAAAGAACAGTTTGTAATGAGATTTCAGTGTGTAGATCAGTGTAACCTTGTAGCGCCTATGCCCAGTGATGCATGCATTAAATGCGGCAATTGGCATTTAATGCGGCAATGCACATTAAATGTAACTTGTGGGTTCATTTCAATTTACCGACCGGCGCTGGCCGGGTATATGCAGATAAGGAATGTGTCCAGCCAATAAGATTCTCTTTCTTCGCATGTTGTAGTGCGATCATACTTTTTGTTGGCAACTCATTAGCGAAAATAAATGAAAAAAAGAGAGAAACACGTTTTTTTAGAGATAGACAGGGTAAGAGAGACGTGTGAAGCAGGAAGAAAGAATGGGGCACCCCCTGCGTCCCTTTCTGAATGGTATTTGATCTGCTCCTCTCAATCAAATAAATCGCATTCCAGACATTCCTTTCCCGGCGTATCGTTTGATGGTTCCACCACCCTCCGCTCCGCACCGGGACACTCCAGGCAGGTGGTTGTCAGAAGAGAAAAATGACATCGTACTTTTCCAGCGACAAGATGGGCCTGGCCGAATTTGAGGACAAGAACACGTCACAATCACACCACTCAGTAGGCAGTAGGCAGGGCATTTCCATGGTCTTGTAATCGGGTTCAGAGGATTTTTAATGGTATGAAGGTTTGTTAGCTGTCCTAGAGAATGGATTAAGTACTACTCTGGTGACGCTGTTTGGTCCTCCTAGATGGTTCGGAAAATATTGCTCTACTTTGACTGCTGTGGTATAGATTTCCTAGCAGCATTTTTCATTTCATTTACAGCCCTTAAATGAAGGGTTTCGAGCTGACAGTGTCGCACTCCATGCCGAGTGGACGATTTACAGAAGGAGACCAGTGAAGTGAAAATAGTAGAGTGAACATTGTTTAGAGAATTGAAGCGGACCGTCGAGTGAAATTGTGTACTGTGTAGTGAAATTTTTCACAGTGGTCGAACGAAATGTGATTTTTTGTGTTACAGATATCGCTTTTAACTTCCGCACCACCTATGTCTCTCGCAAAGGAGAGGTGGTCTCGCACCCCAAGTGCATCGCCCTCAACTACCTCAAGGGCTGGTTCGTCGTGGACCTGCTTGCCGCCCTACCCTTCGACCTGCTCTACGCCTCGGACGTATACAGTGGCGAGGTGAGTCGAGTCCAAAATGTAAAAAAACGCTTACGGCAAGGTTCACTGCAAGTTCAGGGAACCCTGTAGCACTACACTGTAAGTTGCACTGATAAATAAAGTGTTCAACTGGCGTGCACATGCAGATGCCCAACACTATGTTGCACATTTTTAAGTGTTCGACTGGATATTTGAATACTTCGAAGTGTTCAGCAGTAAAATTGAACACTTTAAAGTGTCCAAAGCTTCCTAGCCAACCCTGATGTTGAACGCGTTTTAGTGTTCAAGATAGTGTTGATCACTGCTTGCATGTGCACGGGTTAAACTCGCTGTAAGCTAGGGAGCACCACTCTAACTTGCCCCTAACTGACAATAATCTAACAGGGCTGCAGGGCTCACCGTGGCTCTCTGTGAAATTCGCCGAAGGCTTTTATTAGTGCAGTGAGGCAGAGTGGATTGAGGAGGGGGTGGAGAGGGCCAAGAGAGTGGTGCTGCAGCCGGGGCGCATCGCGGGCCGTATGGCCGCACGGCTCGCGCCGCCATCGCAGCTGCGCCTCGATTCCCCTCTCCCCTCCCCTCTTCATTCCACTCCCCC